GGGAAGGAGCGCCCGCTGTCCTCTGCTGCCTCTGGTTTCTCAAAGGTTCCAAGCTCCTGTTTAATAATTATCAAACAGAGTAAACCCAAGCTGCAAAAAATTAATTTCCCTGTGGCTTTCAGATTTCTCTGTTATTTAATAACACAGGAAAACACTAACAATTGCTTTGATTGCATTAGAATTGGAGTAAGCTTGTAGCTGGCTTTCTCAAGATGAACTTCCTGAGTGTGCCCCTGCCTGCAGTGTACCTACTGGCAGCAAATTAATTCGCTGTAGTGTTAGACTTGGTAATAACTTCCTGCATGTAGAAATTAAAAAATATTCATTCTGCATCAAAGTAGAGACGATAGATTTAAGGTGTCATGTCCTCTGGAGTTGGATGTAATTGGAATGGAATCTATTTGCTGTTAATTTGTGTTGGTACAATAATATTAAATGTACTAATCTGCTCTCTTGGTGCCCTCTTCTGTTGCAAGCTTAAAGGAAAGGGTGTGTTTTTGGAATATGACAGGAAAATTAATTTCTGTTCTATAGAATGATCTCTGTTGGTTGCTTACTTGTATCCTTACATTATACTAACCCTGTGACAACTTGCTGAGCTTAACTGAAGAGTTTAAAGCATATTGAGAGCTAGTGGATCTATTTGTCTTTCATCCAAGTTATTTATAAAAGATAGACATGACTGTCTAATTTACAGTAAATTGAAACATCATGGGAGTAGAGTTTACAAACAGGATCTATTAGAGCTGAGACTGTGGATTTTTCTTTCAATCATCATGTTACTGAAAAAATTAAAAGCAAAAATACAAGGGAAAATATGCATTCATGTCTCAGAGTTTAGGCTATTGAGCCAGAATTCCAACAAAAACCATTCTGTGGGGGAAGTTTAACTTTGGATATGTTCCTGATAGGAAGTTACCTAGGGAAGGAAACAAAGCCAACATGAAGTGCTGCTGGTCAGTAGTGATCTGTTCTGATCTCTTCTGTTTGTGATGTGGTTTTGTTTGTTTGGCTTCATGCACTAAAGGGTAGGGAGCACTCCGGGGCTTGGGATCAGTGTAGCAGAACTGGTGTTCCTCTGGTAGTTGAAAGGATCCTTAGTGTAATTGTTCCAGCAAAGTAGCGTTTTACTGCAGTGTAAATCTAGGTCCTCTTTTCTTTTGTGGATATTGGTGCTCTTCTAGTTTGAAGAACTAAAAGGTCTATTTTTTCCTCAGATTTTCAAAAGCAAGCTTTTAACCTGCCTTGCATTTCTTTGTTGTTGTGGACATCAGTGTTATTATCATCTTGTTATTGCTGGAGTGGGTCCAGAGAAGGGCAACAAAGCTGGTGGGGGGCCTGGGAAGCATGGCTTATGAGGAGTGGCTGAGGGATCTGGTTTTATTTAGTCTGGAGAAGAGGAGGATGAGGAAGACCTTACTGCTCTCTACAGCTACCTGAAAGGAGGGTGTAGTGAGGTGAGTGTTGGTCTCTTCTCCCAAGTAACTAGTGATAGGAGGAGAAGAAATGGACTTAATTTGTGCCAGGGAGGTTTAGACTGGATATAGACTTAATTTGTGCCGGGGAGGTTTAGGCTGGATATTATGAGGAATTTCTTTCCTGACAGAGTGATGAGGTGTTGGATCAGGCTGCCCAGGAAGGTGGTGGAGTCACCATCCCTGGAGGAGTTAAAAAATAAAATGTGTAGATGTGTACTTCAGGACACAGTTCAGTGGTCACAGCAGTGTTGGGTTGATGGTTAGAACTGATGATCTTGGAGGTCTTTTCCCACCCTCATGATCCTATGATTCTGTCAGCATTAAAGGTTCACAGTGGTCCGTGTGAAACAACAGTTGTACTCTCTTCCAACTACAGAGGAGTCCTAATCCCTGAACAGAGTGTTAGGTGTTAGCATCATGTAAGCATTAGGGCAATCAGTAAAGATTCATCAGTCTTAGTTGTACCTGGCTGCAAATTTGCATGGCTGATCTTAACACTTGATGGGCTTGAGAGAGATCTTTGTGGATTCCTGCAACCCAGCTGCAGCTGGAGAACCTCTTGGCTCTGAGAAGTTGCTGCTCTTCTGGTAGTGTACCTATGAGAAACAGAAGTTAACACTAAATGCTGGCTCCTAAGTCAAGGCTGCCAACATGCTGCTTGCTCTGCATATTGTATTAAAACCCAAAACCTATTAAACTCTTGTCCCTCTGGAGTGATGGGCACTGATTGAGGAAAGTATCTTGAAGGTGGAGAAGAATGGGATGTGAGTGCTCTCACTGAGAGCAGTACAGGGAATGAAAACATTTTAGCAGAAGCTTTAAATTCCCACTGCTTTTGTCATCTCTATAGCCTTTTTATTGGCAGAGGAGATCTGTGCCTGCATTAATTGGGCTTTTTTGGGTGGGCTTTTCCTGCGTTGGATGTACATCTTTCTCTTACCTCGACAAACACTAAGAGATGCTAACCCCAAGTTAATACTATGTAATTTTTGTGGTGTTATTAGCTAAGTGTTTTTTTTTTTGTGGCATGAGACCACCTTCCAAATGATAATGTAATTACCATCCCCACGGTGGAGTGTTTGCATCCCCAGCCTGGAATTGAAGCTCTGAGTTAGCAGAAGATAACCCAAGCTCTCTGAAGAGATAGTTGGTGAACCTGTGGTCTGTGAGATTGCTTGCTCTTTGTGATGCTCATTGCCACTGCTGTTTCTTGGAGCTAGTCAGGCTGGAAAGGGTGAGGGAGAGGAGCGAAGTGTTGTGATTTCCTAGTATTTACCTTGCATATGTGACTTTCGTTGAAAGTTAAAGATAGAACAAGTATTTCTTTGTTTTATATTTTCAGCCTTCAGTTTTGTGAGCTCTGTTCTGAAAAGCAGATGTTTTTCTCTTTGTGTAATGCAAGTGCATAGGTCTGCACAGAGCAGAACACTTTCAGAGGAGACTGTGCTTCACATTGGTCTGCTACCCATTAGTCTTAGTTTGTGTCATTCTGATGTTGCTTGTTAAGATCTTATTGGGTCTTTCTTCTGATTGGTGTGTAAAAGCTTGTATAAAAATCTCTGAAAACTTGCTAGGTGTTTAGAATAGGTTCTGCACTGTTAACCAGAAGGTTTTCTGACTTCAAAAGGCTTGACTAGTGTAATGCACTCCTAATAACCTACCTGTTATTGTCCTTTACCTGGGGAGGGAGATGGAGGATGGTGGGAGAATGTCATAAAAACTGTTTCAGACTACCAATGAGAATCCTATCTTTCAAAAAAAGAATCTGAGAGTAAGTTACCATTTGCTGTTTTCTGTTTCTTATCAGGTGCTAGTGGTGTAAAGCCATTGGATGGTGTGAAAATTCTTGATTTAACAAGGTTTGTGTTTGTCTGCCATTTGGAACAGTCTGTCTAGATGCAAATCTGATGGGGGAAACTAAGAAAATGTGTGGTTTTGGTTTTTTTTTTAAATATTACAGGGTGCTTGCAGGACCCTTTGCCACAATGAATTTAGGAGATCTAGGGGCTGAAGTTATCAAAGTGGAAAGACCAGGTAAGATTTTTAATTGTCTATTTCAGTTATAAGAAGAATGAGGGGTAGTTTAGCAAAGTGTTGTTTATGGATTTTAAGTAACAGTCCACTGAGAATGCAAGATTGAAAACTTGTGAAAATATTTAGAAAGGCAATACTATGTTTATTTGATGATAGTGTGTTTTTGGTGACTGTGTTTAGTATTGTGCAAAGAAATAATTAATTTTGTAGTTAAAATATTTTTGAGCCAGCAGTTTTCAAGTTACAGGAATATTTTATGTCCTCATACCACTTGTGGTGTGATAGAGAACTTGTTATTAGGTTTGCTTACACCTGTATGATCTGTTTGCTTTCAGCTTAACACTGTGCTCTGTGTATTTGTTTTGGATCACAAATATGTCTATATTTAGAAAAGAGGGTGAGAAGGTTGAAAGTTTAAGGTCTGGTAACTTTTTGTGATTTGAATGTACAAAGCAGTACTGAGTCATCACTTTTTAAAGTGAATTATTCTGTCACTCAAAATGAAATTGATTTTGTTGGAGCTGTTTGGACTTTGCTTAGATCTAAAATTGGGCTTGTGAATGCTTAGGTGTGTGGTGTTTTGTTTTTTATTCCTGTAATCTGGTGAGAGGGTTAAAACAGGCTTTTGAGTGTATTGTTTGACATCAAAAATTAGGCAAACATAAAAATCCTTCCAGCAATTAGTTAAGAATTATGGGAAAGGTATTTTTTTTTTTTCCTATTTGGGAATTCAGAATCTTCATCTCAGTTCCCTCTGAGTCAGAACATCTCAGGTAATTTTAAATAACATATTTTACTGCTCAGGGTTAGCATATGGATGAAATGGCAGACACTTTAATTTATGAAACAAACTCCACCTTCTGTTTTCATCTTTATTGTTACAAGGAAGAAAGGTAACATGAACATTTAAAGTACGTTTGCTAGCACTGCTTTTGTGTACTGTTATGCAGATAGATTTGGGCTGGCAAGCATTTTGTTTGGTAAAGCATAAGGGGACTTGGCATATTATACCAGCTTTGCCCTGAGGATAATTTTAACATTCCAATACAGCTTCAGGCCATTAATTAAAATGTACCTTGTCAGAGAAATCTTCCTTTGGAGTTGTGGAAAGTGAACAGAGGTTTTCTGCATAAGGTAGCTGTATCTATAAAGTCCAGGATCTGATATTCCTGTATAGATGGCGATTGGAATTCCTTAGAATTCCTTGGAAAAGGGAGATTTCTGAATTTGCATGAAAATCTTCATGCTAGTGCTGGAGGTGTCTGAGTTCAACAGGCTTCAGCTTTGTGTTTTCACATGGAGAAGCTTTAGCTTCTTCTGAATTTAACTGGACTCTGGCTAATTAGCTTTGTAAATAGAATTTATTTTGTTTGTGTATTTTAGATTAGCACAGTGGCTTTCTTTTCCCACTCAGCACGTGCTGCTTATTCGAGAAGTTGAGGCTTGGGTAATGGTAAAAATGCTCCGTTTTTATGGAATAGGTACACTTCTTAGCTTGTCAGACTGGACAAGAGGAGTAACAAGTTGCACAACATTCAGTTCTTTTTTTTAGAAGTATTCCCTGCATTTGGCTTTCAGTTTTATGCACCATTGCATGTTTGAGGCAGGTAATTATGCCTTAGCAGCTGCACATGATGTCATTTGCTTTTTTGTTTCATTTTCCATGTTTGAAGTTTCTCTCTTTTGGTATTACTAGTTTTGAAATGAGCTGGTGAAGAGAACTACACACTCCTCAGGATACTAAACCAGTACTAAACCATAGCACATTCCCTACGTTTTATTATTAATAGTGAATATTGGATGTTTGAATATCTAACAAAATATTGAATGTCTAACAGGAGTTTTGTCATAACATCTTTGCTCACTGTTGTTTCAAATGGCACTGTCACTTTTGTGACAGGGCAGTAGCTGCATCAAATTTGTGCTCTCAGGGGAGTCTGACAGTGGAATGATTCCAGGTATCCAGGTAGTAGGAATGGGGCAATGTCAGGGATAAAGTAGGAAGTAATGGTTTTGGATATTTGCATTCTAGCGCTCTTAAAGTTTTGGTTTCTGGTTGAAGAAGGGAAGCTGGAGAACTCTGAATTTCAAAGATTTTAGGATGTGACTGATTGTCTCTCTGTCAGAGGGTGCCTGCTTTCGCCTGTTAATCCATAAGGGATAGTAGCCACACTGGTGTCCTCCATGGAAAGTATTACTCAATTATTTTGTTTTGAATGGCTTGAGCTGGGAATGTACAGAAGAGAGATTTTTCACTATTTTTTCCTCAGGCTTCCCTATTGAACCAAAATAATTCTTTAGATAAAGAGTACAAAAGTTGATAAGCAATTTATGTTTGTATAACTTCTACCAGAGTTGATCTTCAATAGCTGTAGACTGTTACCATAACGTGTAGCATAATTATGACAGTGGCTGTGTTGTGTAAGACCAAAGGTCTTTCAGCTTTTTTCTGTATCTGTGCTACTATCCAAGAGTCTTCAGTGTTGCCTCACTGAGGAAAGTTTTTACTCATGTGAAGTTAAGTAGATCAAGTCTAGATATTGAAATAGATGTAGGAATATGCATACTTGCTAGCACCCGGGATGGTGATTATATCTGAGTTTAATTTTAGCTTTAATTCTGATTAAAATAAATTGCCAGCCTTAGTTTTAATTCTAATTAAAATTGCCAGTTGTCTTGACATTTAAGAAAGGCTTTAAATTGGAAACTAAGCTTAAATGATACAGTGACATCAGTGTCTGCAGCAGCTTTAAAGCCATCTTGCCTTTCTGTAGGGCAGGAGTGTTTCTGGAAGGGCTGGAGGTGGGGGATTGCACCAGCTGTAGCATGTGCTTCTTTTTGTTCTGCAGTGTGCAGCTTAAGGAGCTGTTGCTGCTCAGTGGCATCTTGGCATTGGGTCCAGAGTGTTTTGGGAACAGCTTATTGACCATGTGTAGGATGTGATTTGGTGCAGGGCAAGAGCTTCTGCTAAATTATTCCAGATTGCCTAAAAGAATGGTATTGTAGCTGTGCTTTAAGTTAAAACAAAAAAAACCCAAAACACCAAAACCTCATCTCCTACCTCAAAAAGGCAACCCACAAAGAAAAATGGCTGTAAAACCTGCAGATACTTTGTTGTGACTGTATATTAGTATTTTAAAGCCTAAAAGTAATCCTAGCACTAGAAAACACTGTTCTTCTTGGACAACTATGAAAATGTGATGGCATTTCTTTCAGGAGCTGGTGATGATACACGAGCCTGGGGTCCACCTTTTGTTGGAACAGAAAGTGTTTATTTTCTCAGTGTCAACAGAAATAAAAAGGTAAAGGGAGCATGAGCCTCATGTTTTCTGTAATTACAATGAAAGATGTAACACAGCTTTGTTTGATTCTTAACATATATAATGGGCATTAGTTACATTTGCCTTAAGTTGTGCTGAATGTATTTCAGGAGAAAAACAGTTCTTTTGGATCAAGTCTGTAAACCTCTGGTACACTGCTGTGGTCAGCTGAGGCAAATTCAGAAAGCAAGAGTGGTTATGCCAGGCCTCAGGTGCTGGGGCAAGTGGCATGAAAATGAAGCCTGCTGAAAGTAAGGGTGGTTTATTTGAAGGATCATTTTTTTTCAGGTGCATCAGCTCAGCTGATCTGCATCAGCTCCACCCACCAGCTGGCATTGTACCACACTTAAGTTGGCTAAAGGTAGCTTGTGAAGCTTCAGGATTAAGATGGGGTTTCATGAGATGCCTGAGCTGTTTAATGGCACGTTGCCATTGAGACAAATTTTTTCAGTGTCCCCACGTGTACTTGCAGTGGTGGGTTCTGTGAAAACATGCTGTAAACAGCCTGTGGTGCAGCTCCCAGCTGCACGTCTGTTGGACTTATTTTGGTGCTTGACTGATCCGTTGGTGAGAGAATTCAGCTTTTTACCAACAGAATTTGTTTCTTTTTGCAGGGGGAGGTGGAGTGTGTGTTTAAAATTCACTTGTTTGATGTAGCTGTAGGGTGAAACTTGACTTCTGGTTATGTATAGGAGAGGCTGATAATCATCATAAGGGCTTTCACATTAATTAGTGTTGTATTTTTTTATCCCTAGAGTATAGCTATCAACATGAAGGATGCAAAAGGAGCAAAGCTGATCAGAGAGGTAGGTTTTGAGAGCATGCAAACTGCCTAATTTGTATTGTTTTGATCATGAGTAATAAAGAAAAGTCTGCATTCCAACTAACAATAGTATAATTAAAGGAAAAATGCATGTGTAGTTTATTTGTTAAATTACAGTATATAGCCTTTGTACTGTGTGCTTTTGGATGCAATGCTCAGTGTAATTTCTAGTGGTTTTTGATAAAATCACAAGAAAATGTCATCAAAAGCTTCAAATAAAGTATTGTGAGGAAAAGGTCTAAGAGCTTTGTGCTTTCCTTTTACTGTTGCTGGATTTGATCTTGCTGTACTGTTTCATTAGCGAGGTTCAAGCTGGACTGAGCTGATGAGGGCAGTGAACAGTGCACAAAGAGGAGGTACTGGCCTCCAGTATTTGCAGGTTTTTGAATGTTATGGTGTCTTCATGACTTCAGCTACTGTGCATCTTTCTGAGAAATAGTCCTGTAGGTCAAACTTAGTGTGTTTTTTTTTCTTTAATATTTCAGTTGAGAATGTAAGGGTCTTTTAAGGGTGATGCATTTTTCCATTGGAAAATAAGAGGATCACATCTCGCGTTCTCTGAGACTTATACTTCATCATCCCTCTTTTATTTATTGAGAAATAAGACCTGTGCTGTGTTTTTAGTTCTAGAGTACTAGCACATCTAAGAAGGTAAGCTGGCTCCTATTGCTGTTTGTTTCAATATCAGTTCCAGCCACTTTTTAACAGGGACACTTGGTGTCCTGCAGTAAGTGGAATTTGTCTGGTAGTTTTTGTTTGGAACATTGTGTGAAATGGAGTAAGTTGTCTGATGCTTTTGGCCTTTCTGCTTCCCTGTCAACTGTGTAAAAGACACTTCATATGGGAAATCTTTAGAGTTTGTAAGCCAAGGATTTCACAGTGCCTAATCTCTTTGCAGAACAGAACCACTTATTGTTGATATGAAGCTGTATGTTTATCTTCTAAAGGTTTTGGGAACAGACAGTGTCATTTGGAATTCTGCAACGTATCACGTGTTTCTGGATAAAGTATTCCTGTTCTCAGCAGGGGCTATGAAAGTTGTTCCTATGTCATAGGAATACTAACTTATTTGGCTTTTAAAAATGGTGAAAGAAAAACTGTTAAATATCCATTGATTCCATATGTGTAGGCTGAACCTGTTGGAAGAGTTAAAGGCAGCTGGGCTGGTGAGTCAGGAGGAGCTGGAGGAAAGATTCTGCATAAGCTTCTCATGTGACTGCTGCTGTCTGTGGTTAGAATGTTCCCCTTTTCTCACCTTCACATTTATGCAGGAAGATTACTGCTTGATAATGGGTAACTTTCTGCCTGCACTATGGAGAACTTTTTTTGTGATCTGTGGAGTTGAGTGCCTGGTGACTTAGGACTTTGCCATGTAACCTTTGTGCTTGAGGCTCGGGTGCATGGTTGAGTTCAAATTTCCTGTAATTTTTAAATCAAAGTAGTAACTTTTCTTCTCCCTCATTTGTCATGCAAGAGCAGCATCCTCTCTCAGCTCAGTGCTGGCCTTCTCACCCTTTTTCTACTGGTAAGAGATCTCTTGTACCACTGTCATGTGGAGCTATCGTGAAGCTGAAGACAGGATAGTTGGCAGTAAGAGTACTTGGCAGGAGACATTTGTCTGTAGCTTTAACAGCTAAGCACCATTGTGGACTGAAGTGATGAGGCATTATTGAATGTGACTCTGCATGTGGAGTTGTTCATCATTCTGCTTGCTTTAGACAGTTTTTAGAAGCACTTGATGCAGGAATCTTGACATCCCATTATTGTGTCAAAAAATGGAACAAGAATATAACTTCTTAAGTGGGGAGTTTTGTTGAGAATATGTAAAGGGAAGCTGTCTATAATGGGCTCTTGTTTTCAGTTGTCTCCTGGAAACATCAGGGCAGATGTGTGTAGAGTTGAGTTTTGTTCAGCAGTGTATCTGTTGCTATGAAAAGTAGTGCTCATTTCTGTAGAATTATTGATGGCAAGAAGAAATTCAAGTTTGTCACCCTGGTTACTTGTGCATAATATGAATTGTGTTTTGAAACTAAGCCCACAAAGAACTGGATCTTCTCAAACCTTCTTGTGCCAAATACTTATTTAATAACTTTTATGAAGTTGTTCTGTTCACTTCTGTGGAATCCTGAGCTAACAAACCAGCCACTTGTCCGCATGGAAACCCAGCAATAAATGTTAATCTGGAGACTGTTTCTCGTGTTACTATAGTCCTAGGGGTTCTTGACATACCCACTGGGGGGAAAACAAAAATTAAAATCCACCTTTACTGTATGCTGAGCTTAGTTTCTGTAAATATTGTCTTTTCTGTGCATCCAATTAAAGCATTCAGAATTTGGTGCCCTCTTGTCTGCATAGGTTATATGAATGGTTATATGTTAATCTTGAACTTCAGTAGATTTTTGGAGTAGGTCATTCATGTAAATGATGGAAAACCAGTTGTGTTGCAGAGCTTGAGAGCACTATTCTGACTGAGGTGACTTTAAGATGCTCATTTTAACCCAGTAAAATTTTTGGGCTCCCTATTTTTCTTCATACAGGAGGAAAAATATGTTCTCTGTTTCAGTAATTGTAAGTGATGATTTTAAAATGAAAACCAGTTTATATTATTTCTAAGGTAGAGAAAGCATGGAAGATAAAGATCTGCTATTCCTCTCCCCTTTTTTGCCAGCTAAGTGCTGGTATAAATGTGGTGATTGTTCTGTAAACTATCATCAAGTCTTGGGAAATTGATGTGATACTGATAACATGCTAGTTTTGCCTAATTGCTTTAGGATTTTGACAGACTTCTTCCCAGGTACACAGCATCTCTAATATGCAGCTTCCAGAGATGCACAGTCTAGCAGGCTAAAAATATCTCTCTAGGTTTGTAAAGTTTTTTTTTTTGTCAGAAAGACTGGAGCCATTTTTATTAGTGAGACTTTTGAAATAAACTACATGAGTAATTTATTGAACTTTTGAAAGCTCATTAACAAATCTTACCCTTTTCTTTTCTAAAGCTTGCAGCAGTGTCTGATGTTTTTGTGGAAAACTACGTCCCTGGGAAACTGGCTGAAATGGGTCTAGGTTATGAAGACATTAAAAAGATTGCTCCTCACATAGTGTACTGTTCACTAACAGGTATTTTAATTTTAATTACTTGTGTTCATTATTTCCCTTACTCCAGTCAACTTGTTATAAAAGTCAAGTGGCTCTATAGAAATATATTGCTTTGTCTGTTAAACTAAGCTGAAAGACTTAAGTGAGTTTGTTGAGTTCAAAACAAGATATAGAGAAATTGGGAGGCAGCAACCATGTTAACAGCTTATAGATTGTTCTACTGTGGCATTCTCATGCCAGCCTGGCATGTTCCTATTGACTTCAGAGGAGCCAGGATTGCCTGAGTTTCTTGGGCTTTGCTTTGAACTAGGCAAAAGTTCAGTTGTTTGGAATTTTGACAGTTTTACTGCACCAGTTTACATATAATGTATATTTCCATATATGGTAATCTCAGTATTTTTTTTTTTTAGTGCCCTGAAGCATCTTTATCTTCAGAATGGTGTAGTTATATGTTCATGGAAGGTTCATGTTAGTTTGCTACAGTCCTTTGCCTGGTAATTGAAATGGTAGAAGAGTTGTAAGTACACTATAAATGCTGGGAAGAATGAAAAGAAAATAGACAGATGAATATCAGAACTGCATACAACTGAAAATAACTGAAAAGTCTGAGAAGTTTTTAAAACAAAAACAAAAATCCAAACCAAAAACCACCCCAAAAGACCTTGCTCAAGCACTAAAATTAAAGGATCTGTGCATGTAAAGGCTACTGTTAAAATACAAATAAACTAAAACACAGAAGCAACAGGTGTTTTTAGACTGGTTTGAAAATATTCGTTACAAGCCTATTATGCCTCTGAATTTCTGAAGAATAAATGGCTTTATCTTCTTAGTTACTGGGTATTGATGTTGTTTAATATGAACCACATAGGTTTTTTGTCTGTTGTGATGTATTTATCATGTTTGTGTGGCAAATGTCTGAAGACATCAAAAGCAGAAAGCCAATTATATTCAGGGCTTGATGAGAATCTTTTTAAATCCATTTTCAGGTTGGTCAGTGACTAGTTACCACAATGTGTTTTTCATGTTGTGCATGTCATCTCACATCTGGAATTTGAGTGGTCTTTGCATTTTGTTTAGTTGCTGCAGCCATACAGCAACTAAAAGAATTAAAAGAATAAAAATTATATCCAAGCTACAATTTATGTGAAGTAGCTTGGCCTTTGATTTCATAAATCTGTTTTTTCCTTCACACTACACGTCAGCTTTTGAGTGCTTCTCTATTTTTATTTATAATAGACAAAAAAACCTTTAAGTGTGTGCCTAAGGAAAGCTACTACTGAATTTCACAGAAGCATAGAATTGTTTAGGTGAAAAGGACCTCTTGGGACCATCTAGTCTATTGCCCCTGCTCAAGTAGGGGCAGCTACTGTGTCCAGCTGGGTTTTGGGTATTCCCACAACCTGTTCCAGTGCCTGATCACCCTCACAGTAAAAAGGTTTTCTCACCTTCAGGAAAATCTGCCCATGGCTTCTTGTCCTGTCAGGGAGTGCTACTGAGAAGGGTCTTGCTTCCTCTTGCTCATTGCCTCCCACTGGCTATTTCTGCACATTGCTGATATCTGAGTGTCCTCTTGTTTAGGCTGGGGAGTCTCATCAGTCTTGTCCTAGTGTGTATCAGATGCTCCAGTCTTTCAATCACCTCTGTGCTCCTTGGCTTTCTTGACCATACACTTGCATGATGTATCAGTAGCTCAGTACACATGTGTACACTGTGACACATAGTTTACAATGTTATATATAATGAAAAGCACAAACATTAAAAAATACATAAGTACCTAACTGTGGTCTTCTGAGGTTGAAGGTGTTTGGGAGGTGAGAGCTGAGTGATGTTTGTCACACACCCATAAAACAATTTGGGTTCTTAAATTATGGTTGCTTAAGTCTTAGACATCCAAGAGGTGACAAGGAATGTGTAAGGATGATGCACCCTCTAGGAATGAAGTCATAAAATCTCTAAAAATCCTTAAAAGACAGAAGAAATCAGTTGTCAAGGCAGGAAATGGCAAAGTCTCAGTCTAAGCAAGAAGAATCAACTGGACTAGGATCAAATGAGAAATCTGTCAGAGGGCATGATGGCAAAGCTTTGGGAGTAACTTTCTTTTTTTGCACAATCAGGCAGAAATGTGTTTTAAGAAAATTCCTGATTGACTTCTAAAAATCTATGGCCTGAATCTAAATATTACAGTTCAAGACCATTTTGATTGTACTGCATTCGAATACATTTTTTGCAAAAAGGAATGGGAAGAGACTAGAAGAGGTTTGGTGTAGTAAAGCTTTTAGTTTAAAAAAAAAAAAAATCAGTGAAGAGGAGATCAAATTGTTCAAGTATTGCTGATAAATTACTTAGGTTAGCAGCTCAGATGAAAACATGAATGCCTGGGCAAACAGCTAAAGGGCTTGGTAAAAACCACTAAAACATCTTTATAGTAGCTAACTTTTGTACATGACTGTTATGGGGAAGGAAAAGGGAGTTTTTGTACTTGAGCCATCTTCTGCAAGGGATCAATTTGAGACACTTAATCTGAATATCCAGTATAAAAGACTTTTAGAACAAATGGGTAAGTTATTTTTTATAAATCATCTTGAGCAGTATATTCAAGCAAGGTGAAATTCTGGTCTGATCCTGTGTTGTTATTAAGCTGTCATAAATTTGCCAGTGAAAACACATTAAAAAGTAACTGAATGTGTCAAATTGTTCATGTAAACGGGAATTGATTTTCCTTTTCCAAAGCAAACAGTGGCTTACCAGTTGTTACTCTTTGGAGGCATGGTGCTTTCACTTCAAGGCTGTTATTTGTGACAAGATTTGTGTGAAAATAAGGGTTCTTCAAACCTCAGAGTCACTGATTGCCAGCACTAACTGATAGCCTTTCCTTCTTAAGGACTCACTTTCTAGAACCTTCTTATCCCAGTCACTGGCTGGTTTAGCACCTGCTGGCTGCATTTTGTGTTTGTGGTTAGAGTGATAGTAGCTGTTACACAGTTATGGATCAGGTTGTTTCCATGTCCCTGAAGTGGTTCAGATGCTGAATGAGTGCACTCTGTGATACTGCTCTTGTGTCATGTTACATAGGAATTTCTCTTTTGTGGTGTTTGATGTTGAGCCAGATGGGTCTGTGCTGTCTTTGGAATAGGTTGCATTGATGGTGTGGTTGTGAGTGGTTCATATGTGCCATCTGTAATATAACAACACCTCTATGTATTGCATTAAATTTTTCTCCTTCTGGATGGTAGGTAAAATACCATAAAGTTGTCATCAGCTTCCTTTTCATTTATGTCCTTTGGCATCCTTGCCTTAAATGCCAGTATCACCATGAAATCTAGTCTAATCCCAATTCCAGTACTGTATGGCTCTTCCTAGCCTCCCTTTCTCCTTGTATCTGGTGGCCCTCAGACTAGTATTTCTGGTCTTCTCAGCCTCCCACCTACACAATGCCTTTGTGCTCTCTTACAGTTCTTTTTGTTAGATCTGCGTTCCTTCCACCTTGGTCTGTACCCTTGCCCTGCCCTTTCCTAGCCATGCTTGCCCAGCTCAGCCAGTTCAGATTGTTCACCTCTCCAGTTCCATTCCTCACAAGACATCAGTTTCCCTTACCTGCCTCGGCTTCAGGCTCACATTTTCCTACCAGCTTCCTTTTCCAGCTAATTGTGTTCTCCCATCCTTCAGAACCTTGTTTCTAACCTTCATTATTTTTTCTGTTTTTCCTGTTCTAGATTGCAGTGCTAGTAGGAATTGAGCAGAGGGGATATCCTCCTCCTATGCTTGATTTTTGTGAGTTATCCGTATATACAGTACATATGAACAGTAAATATAAATAAAAACTGGGCTAGAACATGCTCAGTTTGTCTGTGTAGATCAATCTTTGGAGATTTCAGCTTCAAAGCCTTACGTCTTTGCTTTGAGAGTGTGCATTTCCCAGCCCCTGTGATACCTTAAAGCTGGACTTGAGGATTTTTCTAGTGGAAATAAAACCCAACAGCATAAACGAAAAAACATAGCAATGATAAAAGTCTGCTGTTCTTTCAAGTCTTCACTCTAAAGAGCAGAAATTCTTGGGGTTTTAACCAAACACTGTTTGGTTTTTTTTTTTTCACTAATGTAGCAAAACAAACCTGCTTCCCTCCCTGGTTTTGTCCTTAAGAAGAACAGAAACATTCTATGAGAAATTCTGAAAGCATTCAAAATTCTCATCCTTATTCAGCTTAAAGATTGAGATTGGACTTTGTTAGAGAAAATGCTTTTTGTTAACAGAACACATAGAAATGGCTGGCTCAGCTTAATAGGCACATCTTGTAGCAGAATGTGAAATCTGGAAGACGTGCTCCGTGGAAGTCAGAAGATGTGCTACTTAAACTTATCCATAAGGGACCAATTTTTCTTAAATACAGGAATAATGTTTGTATGGAATAGCCTCTTTCTAAATTTTGGACTGTTTCAATTTGTTAGTGATAATAAAATGAAATAGAGTGTAATTTTTCAGAAGGTCCAGGGTCGTGTGTAGGTGAAGAGTTTAGAGGTAGGTAAGCCAGATGCTGTCTCCATTAGGGCATTTTGGAAGTCGTGATTAGCAAAGTGAGTTTCTCATCCAAACATCTCTGATTGAATGGATCCAGCCCTGCAGCAGCTCTTGCAGGGTTTTAAGGATTTCTGGGACATTTCCCAACCTTCCTGCTGCTGGGAGTGCTCTAAAGCTCCACATGCTGTTCTCACTCACAAGTTGGCTTTGCTGGCGAGAATAATCTCAGAACTCGTTTCAGTATAATCTCTTTTGACAGTTCTGTGGTTGAGATTGGCTGAAGGTTTTTTCGAATTGGCTGGTGAGAGTAAATCACGTACAGGTCACAGGGGAGTGACCAGTTGTTGCTATTGGTATGGTCGGTCTAGTGCTTCAACTCAGAAAGTCACAGTTGGTTTCTGAACAGGAGGGGGCACTGTTTAAAAGGACAACATTGTTTTCGAATCCAAGCATTTTTTTTCCTTAAAGCCTCTGAAGGCAATATGTTTTGAAAGAATTTTGTAAG